AGTAGGGTGGGGGGGAGCTCAGAGGAGGGGCGCATAACCCGGCATGGAAAGTAGAAAGATTGAGAGAGGTGTTCCTGGAAGATGAAGCTTGTGGGAGCTGGTGTTTGTGCAGGGTACAGTGGAGTGGAGACCAAGGGCAGGGAAAAGACATTCCAGGCAGAGGGAACAGCCTGCGTGAAAAGACATGAAACACATCATGGGGTGTTGTGTGTGTGTGTGTGTGTGTGTGTGTGTGATATGCCCAAGTTTGGTGTGACTGGAGCACAACATAGGGGGCAGAAGACTCCACCGGGGGAGCTGGAGCCCCTGCCAGCCTGCCTGAGCTCTGTGTTGCTGCACTCTCCCAAGCTCCTCCTCCCTCTCTGCCCTTTAATTCTCAAGAAAGCAATTCATTTAAATGTCCCTTAGCTTACCAATGAATATTCTTCAAAAGCCTGTCACCGGTAAACAAAGCTGGCTTTTACTGCCTGCCTGCCCTGAACCAAGCATCTGTTTTCAATTCGATCCCCACCACCACCATGTGAAGGTGGTCATCCCTCCCAATTGATCGAACACATTGCTCTACAGCCCGCTCCCTCGGCTGTCACTGTCAACTCTGAGTCAATAGGGCATTTCTAACAACTCACCCCCCTTCTCCGCACTGACCCCATCCCCAGACCTTTTCTTCTCCTGTGTCCCCTGACTCCACAGTGCCACCCCGTCCTCCAGCCACCTGAGACTCGTACCCACTGTCGTAGTCATGGCTGCTTATCGGATGCCATTTATGCACTCGGTACATCACTCGTTTGATCATCCCAACTCTTCTGGAAGGTGGGAGTCATTATTTCTGTGTTATAGCCAGGGGCCTCAGGCTCAGAGAAGTCAACTTGCCCGAGGTCATGTGATGAGTTAAAGGGCAGGGCTGAGTTGTCTCTGAAGCTCACGCTCTACTAGTCTGATCCCTGTCACGCAATTCGGCAAATGTTTTCTCGGATTTCACCCCCATCTCCCGACCCCACCTTTGCTCAGCCTTCATTCTGACTCCCCTGGGCCACCCCACCAGTCACACGCCCATCTCCCCGACTCACCCCTCTATTTGGAGCCCAAAAGGTCCATGCAAGGTTCAAGGCTGACCTTGCCACTCTTGCCCCCCCCGTGGTTCCCCATTGCTCATAAGATAAAGTACACACCCCAGAGCCCCCTGTTGCTACCTTCCCCGCAGGACCCTTCTCTCCCATGTGCTTCCATGCCTCTGAGAGCTACATTGCTCGCTCCATCTGCCTGGCATGAAGTGAGGTCCTTCTGACTCCCATTTTCCATCTACCCCTGGCCAAGTAAGCTGACTCCTCCTCAGTGCTCCTCCGGAACCCTGTGTCCATTTCCCTTGAACCTTCATTCCATCTGGTGGGGGGGGGTCTATGCCCTCTGCTAGACTGTGAACTCCTCAAAGGCAGCCCCTGTGCTTAAGTCTGCGTTGGCCAGCGAGCTCATGGAAGCAGCTGCTACTTACATGGCAGAACCCCTTACCCAGCTCCAGGCACAGAGCAACCTGCTGCTCACTTACTTGAAGCCCATCATAGCCCTAGGGGCTCAGCATCATGTAATCTCATTGCTCAGAGCCGGAGGCTGCCCTCCCGTCATCTAATAGGCCAGCAGTAAGCCCCGCTCTTGGAGTGTTGTTGGTGCTTGATGCACATTTGCTGAAGGAGTCAGCAAATGACTCGAATCCACTACTAACCTTATGAACGCCCACTGTAAACTTCAGTGGGCCTGAGGGCCCCACTGCTCCCCACAGATCTGAGACTCAGCAGGCAATGACCACTCCCCTCCCCAAACCAGGCTTACAGCGATTTTAAACACCTGCCTGGGTTTCCTGACTCTGATCTCAGTGGATCGGGGTGTTGAGGAAAGGGCTGGCTGCTATGGGTGGAGGAGGTTCCCTTGGGGGAGAATCAGGCTTTGGAGGCTGAGCACAGGGGTGGGGAGGGGTGGGGTAGGAGAGACTTACTTACCGACATGCGAAGCCAGGAAGAAGATGGGGAACAGCAGAGGTGGCCCCCGCCGGACCATACTCCGGAGACTGACCCAGGTCAGCCAGGGCAGGCTGGACCTCGAGGAACTTACGGTGGGTCTGCCTGCTCAGCCTGTGCAGGCCAGTGTGTGTTGCCGCTGGCGAGGAAGAGGAAATGAGATGGCTTAGGTGGGAGGTGGGGCAGGGGAGAGGGGTGGGGAGGACTTATCCTGCTTCTGAGCCTCCACCTACTCGTGCCCCACCCCCACCCCCACCCATTTCTGGTCCCCATGAAGCTGAGGGAAGGTGTGGCCTGACAGGCCCTGGTGGGGGGCGGGGGGGCTTGAAGATAGGGGAGTGGGGGGTGGGGGCATTGTGATAAGTATAGAACCGAAGGCCTGCTTTTCCAAAGCCCCGCTCCTCCCTTCAGCACTGCACAGGAGGCAGGAAAAGGCGGAAGCCGGTGGTTTCCGCCCATTGAGAAGGGCTGCAGGCGGAGCACATTGTTCTGGGGTCTCTCCTCCCTGCCTGCCTGGACAGACACCCACCACAGCCTCCGTGACTCCTCGTGTGCGTGAGGCAGGACATAGTTACACAGGTGTCCTAGATCTCTGTGGGCCTGGCCATGTCCATGCTCCGGGGAACACAGGGAAAAGTGAAAAGATAAAGCCCCCAGGAGCAGTAGGGGGAGTAGCGATATCAGCAGGGTAGGGGGATGGCCAGGGAGGGGGAAGGGTGAGAAAAGGGGAACCCATCGCAAGATTGAATATCTACCCCTGGCCCCAAGGGGACGAATAATAGGAATGTGGGTGAAGGCAGACAATGGACAGTGTAAGATACAAAATAACAATGACAATGTATAATGGGCGAAATAACAATAACAATATATAATTGATCAAGGATACACCAGGGTGGGAGAGGTGGGGAGGGAAGGGGGGAAAAGAGGAGCTCATACCAAGGGCTCAAGCAGAAAATGTTTTGGAAATGATGATGGTGACATATGTATAAATATGCTTGATCCAATCGATGTATGGAATGTTCTAAGAGCCCCTAATAAAATGATTAAAAGAAAAAAAGGGGAGAGGGAAACAGGCCTGAAGAACTGGAGGCTGGATGGGGGCTTGAACGTCCTCCAAGGCTCATTTGAAGAAGATCCAGCAACAAAGTGAAGCTCTGGTCCTATGGCTCTCGCCCAAGCCACCAACCTGGCAGTAGTTGTTTCTCTGATGTCATTCACTTTGCAGAAAACCTTGCCAATCCCTGAGCGCCGGGGCAGCAGCCAGCTTCCCAGAGAGAGACACTCCCTTCCGAGGGCTGACAAAAAGCTGGGAGCAGCCCCAGCTCGGCAGCACAGCCTTCCAAGCCTCCTGGATCTCACCTCTGCTATGCTCCTCAGATCCCACCCCTCTGTCCTGACACCCACTGCTCCACTTCTTGTCACCCGCTGCTGTTCCCAGAATAGAACATGACCCGTAGGGATGCCTGGGGGTCTGCCCAGGGAATAGAGGAAAGAGTCTGGGGGCCATCAGATGACCAGGGCTGGCCAGTCAATCTGTGGTCTCAATGGCCTGGAATGGAGTGGTTTGGGTGGGGAAACCTGGTACCAACTTTGGTGAGGTGGGCCATGGCGCTTTTGCAGCGGTAGATGCCCCAGCTTTGCTGAGAGCTACAGCTCTAAGGCTGGGAGGAGGCCTATTTGAAGGCCTGAGAGGTTGCCCACAAAGACTTGGACATCAACCATAAAGAGGATGCCCATAAAACAGTTTTGTCTAGAAAACTGTTGTAATCTGGCCTAGTCCTTGCATTGGTTCACAGTTATTACAAAGCTACTGATTCAGAGCTGGACAAGTGAGCCCAGGGGCCAGGTCAGCCCAGGGAAGTTGTGTGGAGAGAGAATAATCACGGCTAAATCACACGTGACTTGAGCTTATACCGTCTCTACTCGGGAATGGAGGAGGCAAAACAAAAGAGTGGCAAAGACAGAGACACCTGCTGATACCTGGTTCCCGTGTGCTTGCCCAGTGCTACAGAAATAGACCTGGGTAGTTTGGGAAGGGTGAGCAGTCCACCTTTTAGACATGTAAGTTCCTCTCCTACAAGGCTAAGTGGGTAGAGTGGACCAGTTCACCTGTTGTTTATTGTTTACCTTCTGTGTCGAGTCAGTTCTGACTCGAAGCCACCTCATGTACAAGAGAATGAAACCGTCCAGTCCTGCACCTTCATCAAACTCATCCTCATGTCTGAGCCCATTGTTGCAGCCACCGTATCAGTCCGTCTCATCGAGAGCCTTCCTCCGTTTTGCTGCCCCTCTGCGTTACCAACTATGGCGCCTTTCTTTAGAGACTGGTTTCTCCTGACAACATGTCCAAGGTACACGCGATGACGTCTCACTATTCTTGCCCCTGAGGAGCATGCTGGCTGCACTCCTAAGGCAGGTTTGTTGTTCTTTTGGCCGTCCACGCCACGTTCAATATTCGTCACCAACACCGTAATTCAAATGCATCCGTTCTGCTTCGGTCCTCCTTAGTCCATGTCCAGCAGCTTCCGCATCATAGGAGGCCTTTGAGAAGACCATGGCTTAGGTCAAGCACACCCCAGCCCTCAGAGTAACATCCTTGCTCTTCCTCATCCTAACGAGCAGATTTACCCAATGTAACGCGCACTTTGATCTCCTGTGCAGCAGATTTACCCGATATAAGGTGTACTTTGATCTCTTGCCTGCTGCTTCCATCAGCATTGGCTGTGGATCCAGCAAGAGAAAATCCTTCCATCTTTTCTGTTTATCATGATGCTGTCTACTGCTCCAGTTGCAGGGATTTGGGGCATCTTTACATTTAGTTGTAATCCAGACTGAAGGGTATAGCCTTTTATTTTTTTTGGCAAGTGTTAACTCCTCACTTTCAGCAAGTAAGGTTGTATCATATACATATCACAGGTTCTTAGTAAACTTTCCCCCATGCCTGATGCCACTTTCTTCTTTGTAGAATCCAGGATCCCTGATGATTTGCTCCACATACAGATTGAACAAGTGTGGTGAGGGATACAACCCTGGTGCACACCTTTCCTGATTTTAAACCACGCAGCATTCCTTTGTTCTGTTTGCACAACCGCCTCTTGATTCTTCTAGAAGTTCTGCATGAGCACAATGAAGTGTTTTGGAATTCTCATTCTTCTTAAGGATGTCCATAGTTTGTTATGATGCACACAGTTGAATGCCTTTGCAGAGTCAATAAAAAACCAAGTAAACATCTTTCTGGTATTCTCTGCTTTCAGCTAAGAGCCATCTGACATCATTAGTGATATCCTTTGTTCCATGTCTGTATCTGGCCTGAACCTCTGGCAGCTCCCTGTCAATGTACTGCTGCAACTGTTGTTGAATGATCTTCAGCAAAATTTTACTTGCGTGTGATATCAGTGATATTGTTCTAGAGTTTGAGTATTCTTTTGATTCACTTTTATTTTTAATAGGTAAAATATAGATCTTCCAGCCAGTTGGGCAGGTAAGCTGTCTTCCAAATTTGCTGGCACAGATAAGTAAGTACTTATAGGGCTTCATCAGCCTTTTGAAACATTTACATTGGTATTTCATCAACTTCTGGAACTGTGTGCTTGACTAATACTTTCAGTGCAGCTTGAACTTCTTCCTTCAGTATCATTGGTTCTTGCTCACATGCTACTTCTTGAAATGCTGGAATGTTGACTATTTCTTCTTGGTATGGTAAGTGTACTATTTCTATCTTCTTTTGATGCTTTCTGAATTATTCAATATATTTTCCATAGAACCTTTCAATATAGCAGTATGAAGCTTGAATTTTTCTTCAGTTTAAAATATGCCGAGCATTGTTTTGAGAATGATGAGGGCAACAAATGTACAAATGTGCTTGACACAATGGATGTATATATGGATTGTGATAAGAGTTGTAAAAGCCCCCAATAAAATGATTTAAATTAAAAAAATATGCAGAGCATCCTTTTTTCCTTTTTGGTTTTCTAATTCAAGGTCTTTGTATATTTCACTATACTATTTGGCTTTTTCTTCTTGAGCTGCCCTTAGAAATGTTTTATTCAGCTCTTTGACTTCATTATTTCTTCTACTTGCCTTAGCCACTTTATGATTAGAGTCTTGTTCGGACATCTCCTTGATCCTTTCTTTCTTTCCTCTCTTGTTAATGACTATTTTCTTTCTTCATAGAGTCCTGGTGGCATAGTGGTTGCACATTGGGCTGCTAACTGCAAGGTCAGTCGTTTGAAACCTCCAGCCTCTTCTCGGAAGAAAGACAGGGTTTTCAAATCCTGTAAACAGATATAATTTCAGAAACTCAGAGGGACTTCTATCTGCCCTAAAAGGTTCCTATAAATTTGCATCGACTAGTTGGCTGTGAGTTTGGTTTGGCTTGGGGTTCCTCCGCGAGTGATGTGCTTGCCCTCCCACAACTCATCAGGTCTTCTGTGATTAGTATTCTGTGCAGCAAATCTGTCCTTGAAATGTTCTCAAAATTCAGTTGGCATAGTTGGGCTGTGTTTGGGCTCGCATGAACTTGTTTTCAGTGTACATCCAAACTTACATATGAAGAAGTTAGGGTCTGTTCCAGGCAGCTCCTAGCCTGGATTTAGCATCTTGATTACATGTTTGATCGATGTACAACTGAACCCACTGGTAGAATTCTTCCATTACTTCACCACTCGCTTTGGTGGTTGGCTCCTGAATTTGAACACTAGTTGTATTGATCTGGTTTCCGTGAAGTCAGATATTGTCCTATCACAGTCAGCACTGCACTTCAGGATAGACCTTGAAATACCATTTTTTACAATGACTCCAATGCCATTCCTCTCCATTATGTTATTGCACAAGGTTTGCTGATTCAAAATGGCCAATACCAGTATGCATGTGAAAGTTGGACATAGAATTTTAAAAAAAGGGCTCAGTGGAAAGTAAATGTCTAGAAAAGAACAATGCAATATATGTACTAATATGTCAGATACACTCGATGGATGGATTATAACAGGAGTTGTGGAGGCCCCAATAAAACGATCTAACAATGAAGAAGAAGAAGAAGAAGAAGAAGAAGAAGAAGAAGAAGAAGAAGAAGAAGAAGAAGAAGCAGGCAATCTCCTTCTACA